CCTCTCCTTTTCCTTAAAGGCAGCAGTTTGACCACAGACTGAAACGAGATCCTAGAGAATGGATATGTTTTGAACACGAACACCGCCAACCTCTGAATCCAAAAAGCAGTCTAATAAAGACAGTGATGGTAATAGCAAAGTTTAAAACATAATTACCTGTCTTGAAGCTCCTTTTTCTCAAGGTCCCCCTTAACTTGAAAGCTCATCACTTCCCAGGTCTTCTGATTTATTTCCTTTTCCACCTGTTTCTCTGTCCGATCCTTTAAGACAGGTCTTCCCAAAGTGAGGGACTCCCAGAGCTGTACGCCAGAATTTAGCTGGAAGCAGTTGACAAGTATAGATCCAGAAAGTCTCACTTGCTCTGCCTTCAGTTCTGACAAGTCTCTGAGAATGAATAAATAGAAGAGCTAATGCTCAAACCATTTTCAGCAGCCAATTCACTTTTGAAGTGCTTAGTTGGGCAACAGCACATGCTGACAGAAAAGACTGCATCTTCTGCAAGGAAGAACCATTCATCTGACACTGGAAAACTAGGACACATCTTGATAGTTGAAGAATGAGCCCATTTTCTCCCCAGAGATATGAAGTAGGGTATAATATATCCAGAAGGCTTCAAGGACTTCTGACTATTCATATTAATGATTTAGTTGTATATTATTAGTATACTCTAATCACTACCATCATTAATAGATGTAAAGATTTTTTGCAAGGTTCCCAACATTTATAGACTTAACCTATCAGTATGACCACCTAGCCTGCTAAAAGGCCCAGGAAAACAGGCACATAATAACGATTTTAGAAAGATGATGTATGAAGCCTAATCCTACACTGCTGTAACGGAAAAACACAAATTATGCAAGAATTAGTAAGTAGGTCAGATATAGTTTGTACATTAAAAAAGGCTTATAATCAAGTAAGGCTAATGGATGAAAGTAACCCACAGTTTAAAACTGCATGCTTACACAAAGAGAATGTAGTATTAATGCTACATGATTATCACTTGCAAGGAGAGCAACCATGACGAAGTACTGTCAAAGAAGCTCAGAGAGCCCAAGAAGGAAGAAAGCAATTACAAAAAGAGGCATCAAACTAAGCAGTGATAAATGCAATAACAGGGAAAATAGGAGCTATTTTTTCCTCTCAATAACATTGACGCAAGAATAAGTGCATACAAACCAACAAAATAAATGTAAGCTGGAAGTGAGAAGAAAAAAATATATATAATCATGAATGATACTTTCATCAGAAGCAGTGAAACAGGAAACCTAGTAAGATTTAAGATAGGTTTTAACAATTTTATAAAAGGGACTACATTGTATACTGCACACAATAGGGCTTGATGAGTCCACTCCCTTCCAATGTGCCCATCTATGCCCATATCTGTGTAAATATGCCCCAATATTAACAGTCAAAACTTATCCATGTAGGGCCTGTACATTCCTCTACATGGTCCTATACATGGGACTCATAGCCCAATTCCCTCAGTTTGATTTGAAATCAAGCATCACACAGATGCTTCTGAAAATAGTCTGTATCATGCTTAATTGCTTTACTTCAGGCTACCAAAGGGAAACCCTATCTTTAGCTCTAATTAGCATAATATCACAGCTTTAAAAAGCAGGTGTGGAAGAAAACTACTTTTTTTTTTTTTCTACAAGAGATCTAACTTTAACTTCTACTCACCGGTCAGTGGCCGTCTTCATTTCTAGGAAATGACGGCGAAAGGTCACCACCTGGCGCCAGAGGCTGAGAAGACGGTTATGTTCACCTTTTAGGTAGCTGTCATAAAACTAAAAATGCAAAGATGAAAAACTAATGCCAGTTTAGCCTTCAATCTCACCATGCAAATATTCCAGATATGAAACAGGACACCACCAGATCTCCTTTAATAACAGTTCCAACAGGCACATCAGGGACTGAATAGGACCACATAAGCATTCTCAGTAGACTTGCTTCTTCACTTCAAAGAGGGGAACATCCAAATTTCTCCTGCTGTAGTACACATATCAATACAGCAAACTCATCATGATTCATCACTTCACCCTGCAGAGATGTCCAACAGTCTTGCTCGGAGGCTCTTGCTTGCACTAGGCTGCTAGGAAGGGATGCCTGCTTGTTTTTCTGAGGGGCTACTCTGAATCCGCATACACACAAACCTCTCTGGACTCCACTGCTGTAGACAGAGTTTTAAGAACCAATATAAATGAATAAATAAAGGAGATATCATGTGTGATGACTGCTCTACAGTATTCAGAAATAAAAAGCAATTGTCTTAAAGACTCAGTTGCCTTGTTGCAGCAGGTGGGCATCTCTGATCACTACAAAATTTGTGGATGCTCCTCCATCTCATATCCTTGTGTTCTGCTAGCCAACACCAGCAAATCTTCAATGCAGCAACAACTTTCACACAGAAAGTTCCCTGTGCTAGGAATAAATTGTATTCTCATCCCTGTCCAGCATTACACTCGACAGGCCTCTAGCTTACCCTTACCTCACGTTCACTACGCCATTCATTCTCCTTCAACTCCAGCTCCTCCCGGGCCCTCATCCAATCTGCCGTTAGTTTTCCAACGTCTTCTTTAAGAGCTGTATTCACCTCATTTGCTTTATCTAGGTGCTCCCGCAAGAGGGTGTTCACTTCAGCCAGACTTTCACACCTTGGAAACAGAGAAATAGTAATGAGCACACTGAAAAACTACCACCCACACATAGCATCCCTGTGCCTTTCCAGCTGCCTCAAAATTGAATTTCTCCTCATGCTGGAAGGTAGTGAACATGCTTTCCAGAAATAATAAAGACATTTCTTTCTGCAACTCCCTCTTCTCTTCTTCTTGCTCTTTAATTTCTACCTACAATTTTAGTTTTCACTTCAAATGTGATGATGCCCACATGTAACTTTTTGACTCCTCTTTGCTCTGTCCGGTCACCTGTCCATCTTCTCTTTACAAGATTCTGATGTATCATCTTTCTCTAACATTGTCCTGACCACCTCCTTCTTGAGCCTTCAAGTTTCAGCATCCTTCCTTGCAACTTACCTCTGCCATCACCTTCTTGTTAAGCCTCTCCCTATTCTTGCTTTTAATTCTAAACCAAGCAGGAAAATACCTGCCCCATGAAAGCTTCAGGATGTTAGGGCTTGATTCTCAGTATAAAGCAGAACGCTGTTGAGTAGCTCACTTCTAGAACTGCAGAAAAATTTAGGCTGCAAAGAGAACTCTGGAGGTCACCTGGATCAGAACAGCCGTCCGGCACACAATATGACCATTATACCACAAAACGGACTTTGGACCTTTCTCCTTTTGAAATGGCCTGCCCAGATGTTTCTTTTGGGGAGGCTAAGCAGCACTGATGGGTTTTCCCTTACTTCTATGAGTATCCAGGGTACTTCTTCCTTTTACCTTTGTTGTTCCTCTTCCAGCTGGGACAGGGCATTCTCCAGGCTATGATCTTCTGTGTCTTCCCACATGTCTGGAAGGGATCCCTTAAGGAAAAAGGATATGTTTAATCAAATCCTTGTGTCATGTTCATTTCTGATTTCTCCTCCTTTTTTTTTTTTTTTGGACCTTAGAAGTTTCTGGCTTCCTTCAGGTATGTGATGACTACAGTGAGGAAGGGAGATGAAGGATGTTTTTTAACATGAGCAGCCTTCCTCAGTTTCCCACTGCTGCGCTCTCACAGCTAGCTATCCTCAGCAAAAGAGTGCTCACTTAAGACTTAAAGCTTGGCAACGCATATTCTCCTATTCTATCTCTTAGGTTTATTTTAGCCATGAAGCAGAAGATAAGGTACGGAGCTGGTCCTGAATACTGAATGCCACCATTCTTCCCTTCCAAGGTGTTATGTTGCAACTGATTTTGATGCAGAAATGGCTGTAACAGGCAGTATACCCCTTCCCTAGGACTAAATACAAATATTACTTTAAAACACAAGCATGCCTTCACTAAATTAAGATCACTCTTGATAGCATTTTCTGGATTGGTATTTCTGAGACCATTCGCTGCTCTGAGAATGGCCAGGGGACAAAACACTGAAGTGCAAACTTACAGTACTTCTTTGAATTCTCAAATCAACAAAATTATATTTTGCTATGTCTTTGCTTTGAGATCCTTTCTCTGTGTAACTGAATGTTGTGCACACTGTCTTTAGCTGGCAAATACTCACTCCTCCTGCTTCCAGTCGCTGCTCCAACTCTCGACACCAGGTCCGGTACTGCAGCACCTAGATGGATAAGTAGGACTAGGATAAGTGAATGAAGCTTGTAGCAGACCGAGTTCCTTCTGCATAAGTTTCTTCCTAGGTCTTTACACCCAGGGCACAGCACATTTCACATTACCACTGACACACTCAACAAGAAGTCCTGTGTAGAAACTTCACTTTTATCCCAATGAAGAAAGGAAGTTTTTACACATGTGTTTATCCTAAGACAATGAGGGCAAGCAGAACAACAGGACAGACTTCGACAGCGGAGCCAGCCATACCTAACTGACTGACGATCACATTGCTGATATATTAAATTCAGAAAAAGTTGACAACAGAAAGCCCTATGCCAAATCCTAGGTATGTCAGGTTTAATAGCAGGCTTGGAACTAAAAAATTATGAAGTGATATAGCATGCCACAGTAATCACAAGCTTACTATGAAACAATTAATAATTCCTATGCTATCAGTAACCTACTCAGGCCCATCAAACAAAAAAAGCAGTTTCTTGCTATGCAGCCAAATAGCACGATTGTAAAAAGGAAAAGAAAAACCTCTGATAAACAGTGAAAACGATTACACAAAAGGCAAAGTCTTTTCCTGAACACCCAGGACTGTGAACGCCAAGGGTCTGAGCACAAGCAGAAGTCCCCTTATGAAATGCTCAAAGCAGGTGGAAAACAAGTTGGCTGAAACTGAAAAGGGTATAAATAGAACTCCTCTGCACTGCCTGGAGAAAGAAATGTACTTTTATCATCTATGCACTATTAGCATTGCTTTCCAAAGACACTGCCATCGCCCAGCAAACACAGCTGAACTGTTCCCATTGTATCTTTCCAGCATTCAAGCTCCTTTACATCTGAACATTTAGTCATCTGAAAAAAAAAAAGAAAAAAAAAACACAAAACAAAAAAATCCAACCAAATCACAAGGATCACCCCGTTTAAATATGTATAATTTCATAAAAGCGATAAACCCAACCAGTGCAAAAAAAGCAACACAGGCCGGTAAGCTGCTTGACAAACCGCTATGCTCTCAGAGAAAAAAGAAACACTAAAACCCAGGAAAAGAAACACTAAAACCTCCTGAGCAGCTCAGGCACTCAGGCAGGAGAGGAGCCCGTAGAGGTAGCTCAGCACCGCCTGAGCCTCTGGACAGGCCGCACTTGAGGCATGTTGCGTTTTCGATTCAGGCATCTTTATTAAAAGCAAAAGATAAAACCCAGGAAAGCCTCTCCTGGGGCCCC